CCATTTGTCGCGCTGGCGGCGGCGCGCCTTCAAGGCGGACCCGACCATCCCGTCGTCGCATCTGCGCGAGCATTCCATAGTGACCTCGTCTCCCACGCGACGCAACGCGTTCTTCGTCGACGAGCGCGGCGGTGGCAGCGCGCCCGTGGCAATTTTGGACGGCATGGCTGCCGCGCGCAGGCAGGGCGCGCGTCGCCCTGAATGGGGGGCGCAAGCGCGTTCACAATGACTGGCGACGCGCCCAGCGCGCCACCCCCCCTTTGCGCTTGCGGCGCAGCGCGAACCTGCGACGCGCACAGCCCGCGCGCCCTGCGCAACCATATAGCGCTGACGATGCGCAGCGCCCGCCGCGCCCCGCGAGCCTGCAACGGGCGGTGACCGCGCGCCGCGCGCGCCCCCTGCGGCATCGAGGAAGCGCCGCGCCTGCCACGCCCTACGAGCCTGCAGCGGATAAAGACCGCGCTCAGGGACCGCCCCCCCGCCACCCCTGCGGCGAAGAAAACGCGCCGCGCCTGCCAAGACCTGCGGGCCTGTTGCGAATAAAGACCGCGCTCAGGCACCACCCCGAGCGCACCGCCTACGGCGTCGAGAACGCGCGCCGCCTGCGGAGCCCGACGACCCTGCAGCCGATGAAAACCGCGCTCAGGTACCACAGCTCGCGTCACCCCTTGCGGCGTCGAAGCGCGCAGCGCATGATGCGCCCTGTGATCTTGCGACGAATAGAGACCGCGCTCGCGCAGATGCCACGCCTTTGCGCCGCCCCCTGCTGCGCCGAGACAATTGCACGCCTGCTCCGCCCTGCGAGCCTGCAACGGAAATCGACCACGCTCAAAGACAACTCCTCCGCCCCCACCCCCCGCGGCGCGGGGGGAGAGCTGCGCCTGCCGCGCCCTGCGAGGCTGCGACGGATCGAGACCGCGCCCAGAGACCACCCCTCGCGCACCCGCTGCCGCGTCGGTTTCGGCACCGCCGCGCTGCGTGCGAGCGCCCCTGGCTCGCGGGAGCGACGGCGCGCCCGTGGGGGAGGCGCGCGCGTGGGAGCGCAGGTCCCACGCGCGCGCCGCGTGCAGCGTGCGCTGCGCGCATGCGCGCTGCGCACGCGCGCGCGCCTGATGCGCGCGCGAGCGGGGGGGGGGGGGGGGTGGGGGGGGAATTGTGGGCAGTTGGGGTCTCCTTCGCGGTGTGCATGTGCAATGCATGGTTGCTCTGATTGCGCGCTGCGCGCACGTGCGCTGCGCGCGCATGCTGCGAGCGCGCTGCACGAGGGGGGGGAAGGGGGGGGGGGGGGGGGGGGGGGGGGGGGGGGGGGCGAGGTGTGAGGGCGCGCGAGGTTCGCTGGGATGCTGGCGTTGCGCGTCGCGTTTATGTTGCGCGCGCGGGCGAATTATCACGCGGTTGCGCGCTATGAGCAACGCGGGCGGGGGGGGGAAGGGCCGCCCGCCCTTGGATGCAGAAGCCATTGGATCGCCAAGACAGGCTCGCATGGATCCAAAGACCCCGCCAGGCCCAGAGACGGCCCAATGAGGCATGCAGCAGCAAGCCGTCAATAAGTGCATGGTCCAAAGGGCCCATCAAGCCCGTCTCAGGCCCCATCCCATGCCGATTCTCGAAACTCGTCTGCAACTTCAAAAGGCCCATACTTGGCCATCGACGAGGCGCGCCCGCTCGCCCGCACCGAGACGCAACATTCGACTTCCCAACCGGCTCGCAGCATATCTAGAGCGCATCGAACAGCGAAGGCGGGGTCGCGCTCATGTTGCTGGTATGATGCTCATGCTGCTTCTTTGCGCCGTCGATGTTCTTGGTCTTGTCGCCGAACATCTCCGCCTTCGCCCTTGGGCACGTTGCACTTCGCCCGGTCGCGCCTCGGAGGCGTCGCGCAGCCGTTCTCCGTCGCCGCCGCGGCAGACAAGCAGGCGGTCTTCATATGTGCCTTTGTCGCAGCTCGTCGCCAGCTGGCTCTGGCGCTGGCCTGGTCCTGGCCGCCGCCCTCGCAGCGGCTGGCCTCTTCTGGGCGACTGGATGCTCCTCCTCTTCCTCGGCTGCGCGCTCGCCCTCGCCCCCAGCACTGCCGCCGCTCTCCTCGTCTTCCTCTCCCGCATCAGCGGCAAAGCTGCCCCCGTTTTCCGCTCCCCCCTGGCCCTCCCCAGTATGATCCTCCTTCATGTCCGCCCTGACCTCGGTCGGCCCCGCCGTGGCATCCGCGGCGCCCTCATTGCCCTTGTCCTAGTCTCGGGAACAGGTTGGAATGGCGACGGCGCTGGCGCATCTGATGCCGCCGTTCGCCAATCTCGGCGACGGCCCCGATCAGACGCAGACGCGCGCCCCACTCCAAAGTGGCAGGACCCGCCGGACACAGGTGGCCCAGGGCGCAGCGCGAGGGGCGTCGAGAAACTGAGGCGCGCGGAAGGGCCAACGCCCCATTGGAATTTCAACGCCGCGCGCGGTGAGCCGTTTGGAAGCTCGATGGATGATCGCGGGATCGCGGGTGCGACGCTGACCTTCCAATGGGTCGCTGGCCCGCCCCCCCGCGACCCCGCCCCCCTCCGCCCGCGCGTCGTCTGCGACTCCGCCGAAGTCCTTGGTCGCTGCCGACGGTCGCCCCATCGTCGCCGCGCCCGCTCCACGCCCGTGCACCGTTGCCCTGTAGGCAAGCGGGCCCGGGCTCCTCTGCCCCAAGTCTGTCGAGCTTGCCCACGGCGAGGCCCTCGGGGAGGTCGCGCGCGAGCTCATTCGCGGCCCCCTCGTCGTCGCAGCCCCAGATTTGGGCGGGCTTGCTCTCGGGTGCCCCCTGATCTTGCCGCGCGCGCGCGAGAGCTCATTCGCGGCCCCCTCGTCGCCGCAGCCCCAGATTTGGGCGAGCTTGCTCTCGGGCGCCCCCTGATCTTGCCGCGCGACTGCCCGCCGCCCCCTGTGCTCGTTCTCTTTGTTCTTGAGCTCCTCGATCACGAGAGAATGCCCGGGGTTTCCGGCGCCATTGCCCATCGCATCCGCCGCCGCTGCGCCGTCGATCTCCCGGCTAAACTTGCAGGGCCTGGCGGCCGCTTGCCCCGCGACGCCGCTGACCTGGCGCGCCGCCGCTTAATCTGGCATCCTCGGGCTCTTGCCCTGCTGCTTCGCGCGCCAAGCCGACTGCGGTCTCTCGTCGTGGCCCAGATTGCACTCGCCCTTCGAAGCCAACCTTCCGGCCTTTGCTTCGCGACCGCCGCGCCCTCCTTCGGCGCCTGCCCCCGCGGCCCCGCGCGCGCCGCCAGGACTTCGCAATCCTGGGGGGGGGGGGGGGGGGGCAAGAGGAATGGGGAACACATGAAAAGGGAGAGAGTTCGACAGGGGCCCATCCGACCGCTGATCTAGGCGGCGAAATCGACCCCGTTAGGCTGCAGCACGCGGAAGTCCCAGCGGGCGGATGGCGCCGCCGAGTCGCTGCCGCGGCAGCCGCGCGCTGCCTTCGTCGTCGCCGCCGTATCTCCACGACCGCCGCCGCTACCACCATCGCCTTCGCCATCGTTGCCGCCGCCATCCTCGCGCCCGTCGCCGCCGCCGCCATCGCCATCATCGCCGCCGCCACGATCGCAAATATTATCATCGCCTCCATCGTCATCATCGTCATCGCCGCCGCAGACATCATCATCGTCGCCGTCGCCATCGTCGCCACCGTCGCCCCCCCGCCCTCTGCCCCCCGCCCCCCTTCCGCGCCCCCCGCCCCCCGCCGTAGTGGCGGAGGGGCAGGTGGGGGCATAATTCGCCCTCGAAGGGCCATTTCGTCGCGGCCCCCCCGCCGCGGCCGCCCGCGGCGGCGGCGCCGCTGGAGCATCTGCAAGCAAAGGATGGGGGGGGGGGGGGGGCAGATCTGACCGCGAGCGAAGACGGGGGGCAGAAGAGTGCAAGAGAGGACCAGGACGAGTGATCTGGGCTCGTAACATCCCGCAGTTGCGGGCCAGAGCGAAGATTCCAACGCGTCCAACTAGCCCGCCGAAAACGCAGACTTTTGCATCGTACCAACTTGGGCGGATCGAGGGGGCCGGTCGCGGGGCGAGCCGCGGAGCGGGTGGCGGGCGGGCCGCGGGCGAGGGCGACGACGCCCACAACAATTGCGCATAAACACCAACGCAACAACAATTCAATGAAGATCCGCGCCGAGGAGCCCCACTTCAGCCGCGCGCCAACGGACAATGAACTGCTCGGCCCAACTCTGACACATATACATACAAATATACTTACACAGATATACATACACATCTATATATATATATATATACACGTATGTGAGCATATGCGCATGCGCGTGGGCATATACAATAGCAGGCATTGGATTGTGTATGGGCACAGAGGTGCACATACCATACAGAAGCATGCGCAAGTATAGACACGCTAGTTTCCCAAATGTGCAGCTATGAAGCGCCTCTTCATGCGATCAGACTGCGCGATCATTGAATTGCATGCGCGGTTTCGGTAATCGAGAGAATCGACTTCAAGGGCTGCTGACTCATCGCTCGGGGGCGCTGGGCGCCGCCCTGGTAGATGCGCGCCGCGCCGCCCCCAGCTCGATCGCGCCTCGGCCTGGCAGCGGCGCGCTGATCCGGGGCCCACTGGGGATCGAGGCTGAGTTCGGCGACGTAGGCGGCAATTGGGAACAGAGCCTGGAACTCTGCAGGGGGGCGGACATGCGCCGCCTCGTCGGCGCCCAGCAGCGCGCCGGCCCGCTGGCCGGTTGCGCGCGCGAGGTCGAGGTGCCGGCGCGGCGCGGGCGGGCGCCGGCAAAGTCGCAGGCGTCGCGGCAGCCTGAGCCTCCAGGGGCGCGCGCGCGGCGCGCCTGGATCCACGCGGAACGCGCGAAGGGCAGCCTGCTGCCGTGGGCGGGGGGCCGCGGCGCAAGCCGGGGCTGCGTTCGACCTCGCAGTCCCCGCCGGCTAGCCCCAGCCATCCTGCCCGGGAGGGCCCGCGGGCGCGGCGGCGCCCGAAACCAAGAAGAGGCCCGCTGCCGCGGCGTCCCGGACCACCTGCTGCAGCGCCTCGGCGGTCAGGGCAGTCGCGGAAGCAACTGCGGCGGTCGACGCTGCCGACGCGCCTCCAGCGGCGGCGGCTGCACGGGGCCTTCGGCCGCGGGCGCGCGGCCGCGTCGCGGCCATTGGCCCCCGCGAGGCCGCCGACGCCTTGGCGCCCGCCACTCGGGGCGCGTCGCAGCCAGCGAGCCTCTGCGGCGAGGCGTCGCCAGAACTCACTCACCTGCTGCTGCGGACACTGGCTGGCGCCTGAACTGCCGCGCCGCATCTCCCACGCGAACATCCTGCACTGGATATTCAGATCGGCATCGGCCGTGCCCTTGACGACGCCCCGCAGAGTCGCCAGCTGCGCGACAGGGCCCAGCGCGGCCATGCCCAGACGCCGACGTCGAGCGAGCGAGAGCTTCCACGAGTTCAGCTCCAGGCCGCAAAAAGCTGCGGTGACGGCCATGTTGTCGCGCCGCTCCACCTCCCTCAATGCCAGACTCCGAGCGCGAAGGGCGGGTGCGTGGCCCTGCCCCCACCGTCATGCTGAACCAAAGCTCGGTCACCGAAGCATGCCGTGCGGCCGCGGCGCCGCGCTGCGCCTGCTCGGGGGCCGAGTCCAACAGCAGCGGGCGCATTCGCAGCTCAATGCTGAGGCTCTGGCTGAAGCGGCACTCGCGCGCCCTCCTTGCCGCGCCCTTCGACCGCTGCCGGAACATGCCGATGGGGGGATGCCACGCCCCGACCCTCATGGCAGCTCGCTGCAACCGCTCCTAGAAATCGTGAGCCTTGTTCACGCCGGCGGCGAACGTCACTTTCGGCACGTCCCCGCCTTGACTTTCCCGAACACCGTCCCCAGGCCAAACGCAGCTCCTCGGTGCTGCTCATCGGCCCCTGCCGACGCCGAGGTGGCAGGCGGCGGCGGCGGGGGCGGGCCGCTAGCTGCAGGCGTCCATCCGTCGCGCCCTGTGCCACCGCCAAAACCACTTCCGCCTCCTGGAGGTCCTCCGACACCGCCTCCACCTCCGAATCCTCCTGGCGGTCACTCTTGGGGGCCTCCTGGCCATCCATTGGGCCCAAGGCCAGTCGGGGGCAGCCCAAGCGGCAGCCCAGGCGGCAGCCCAGGCGGCAGCGCGCCGGGCTGCGGCGTCGGCGGATGCACGCCGTGAGCGCCAGCTGCCGCCTTAAAACCAGGCGCCCGAGCTCCGCCAGGTGCGACTTCTGCATGGCCTGCAGGACGAGGCCCGCCGAGCCCTGCGACGGGCGAAGCCACTTCCTCGGCCTCGCCGCGCTCGCTGGTCGTCGCCTCAGCGCACGGCGCCAGAGGCATCAATGGTAGTGGAGCGCCCTCCGGTGCCGCTCGCCCATCAGCAGAAAACTGTGCACTGGCCTCTGCTCCACCGCTCGCCTGCGAGGGCGGCGCGCTTGGGCCCAGGTGGTCCCCATGTGCTCGGGTCTGGTACTCCAGTGGCAATGCCCCGCCTTGGGTCGCGGCCGTTTTTGCCGATGCGCGGTCGGCGAGCCGCTCCGCCTCCAGCTGCTCGCTCATGCGGCTGAAGCGCTGCACCTCCATGCGCAGTTTTCGCAGCTCCGCCAGCTACAAGACCACAGCAACGACTGGCGGTCGCTGCTGGCTCTGGCTGGTGTCAGGCGCGTCCGCCACGCCAGTGCTCTCAGCAGCTGCTGCCGGCGACTGGTCTGGAAGCTGCGGCTGAGCTGGCAGGGGCATCGTCGTGCCCAACGCCCACGTCTGGCACGTTCCCGCGGCAGCGCCAACAGCCAGGCGATGCATCCCCGTCGCTGCGGTGCCGACGGTAGCACGAACTTCCTGGCCAACCATCTGCGTGTCGAATGCCACGATGCGGCCAACCTGTCCTGCGAGGCCGCTCAAACCAGGCCCTGCTAGGGACCGTGCGCGATATCGAGGTCGACAAATCAGGCGAAACAAGCAGCATGCCCCTGCCAAGGCTGCGTGCAGTGGCTGTGGACGTCGGCGAGGCACATGTCACACACCACGGACGGGCCCACGATGACGTCCTGCATTCCCTGTACCGCGCGCGAATCAGCGCAGCGGGCGGCGCCAGCGGAGCTGCCGGGAAGCTATGGGCCAACGAAGCTCCAAACGCAGGGTGGTAAAATCCCTCGCTTGGGCTCATAACCATCTGAAGAGCTGTTGTTTTCCTACATTTCCGTCTCCGACTCCTCCATTGCTGGATTCTCCTCCCGGGAAGGGGAACATGTGTCGATCAAGATGCACTGCCCTCTCGCAAACTCTCCTGAGCAGCCTGCGGGCCTGTGAGGGCCGCATGGGCAATGCATGTTGCAAGTGGGAGGGCATGGGCAGACGGAGTCTCAGTCTGAGTAGGGTGTTCACCGAGACTGCGAGACGGACGAGAAGACGTTCTCGATTCCTCTCGTCGGTACGAATGCGCAGTTTCCCGCAGCGCACCAAAACTTGAGCCAAGATTACGGACGACGCCGCGACTCGAGCGGGACCTGCCGCAGCCAGAAGATCGAGCCCATCGCACACTCTCAGAACTGTGCTGTCCCGGCCGCGTGGCCTATAGAAGGTGGGCCAGCAAGGACAACGATGAACACGAATGGCCACGAAACCACTCATGCCGGTCTGCTGTGGCCGCTAACCGCTGGGGGTCTACGCTAGCACACTTGCCCCCCCCCCCCCCCGCGGCATACCGTCCGCCGGCCGGGTAGACGTCACCAGGCCCGACACACGCACTGGGAACACGTATGTGAGCGTTCTTTGATTCATTACTTTGCCGATCGGCGCGGGCCCTTGCACCCCCCCCCCTCCCCCCCCGTGGAGTAGATCTTGGCTGTTTTGGGCGCCTGTTTCGAGCAGGTGGAGTCTCCTCTCATAGGACTCACTGTCGCAAACAGTCGCAAACAGTCGCACTAAGCAGAGGCCGCCTTCCGCCCAATGCCGAAACGCCGAATCAAAAAAACGCTCATGATGGCGACACAAAGGCGGACAGATCCTGCCCCCTCTCCAATGTCACGGAGAGGTTGCGTCGAACGAACTAGGCTACGCCACTCTGTGCCAGGCCGGCGCAGACCGCGAAACTACAAAGTCGAGGACCATTCGTGCCGATGTTGTCCCGATGCTTCCCTGTCCCACACACCCGGCCAGACGAACGCACAGCTCACAACATCGCGATGCTCATGATGCGCTCCATGACCCATGGAGAGGTTGGGGGGAGGGCATAACGCGCATTGTGGCCTAGAGGGCAATACAAACGCGCAGACCGCGGACAAGGAGGCGGACGACGAGGATGAGGATGAGGATGAGGAGGAGGAGAGGGGCACCAGGCCATAGCGCGCATCACGCGCATTATGGCCTGGTGCCCCAGGAGAGCCCAGAATCGAATCGATAAATCGGATCGACGATCGAAATGAATCGGATCGGCGGGAATCGGCAGCCGAGTCGGGAGAAGCCGAATCGGCAGAAATCGGCAGTCCAGTAGGCCTCCAGCGAGGAACTGGAGCCCGAACCGAAATCCGAAGCCGTATCGAGTCGGAAGCGGAGGCCACCAACGTCGACTCGAGTCGGATCGGTGCCCCTCTTCCCCGGCGTCTCCTTCGGAGGCAACTACTGGGAGGTTTTCGTCAAAAGGATTAAAGAAGACTGAGCCCCATTGGGAGGCTATTACACCGGAGTGGGCCTCGGCCTGAGCAGGTTGAAGCGGGACTGAGCCGGATTAAACGGGATTAAGCGGGATCAAGCCAGATCTCGGACCAAGGCAAAATCGGAATTCGACCTCCCGAGAGCCGCATCCGCAGACTCCCGCGGGCGCCGCGCCTTTGAAGCCGCCCGCGGGCCGCAGGAGGCCTCGGCGGGCAGGGCCGCGGGGCTCGGCCCGGCCAGCGGGCACCGCTCCCGCTCCCCGCGGCGCGGGCGGCCGGCGGCGGACGGGTGAGCGGGGGCACCGGAAGGGCGAGGGGGCGGAGGGAGGAGGAGGAGGAGGAGGAGGAGGAGGCGGAGGAGGAGGAGGAGGAGGAGGAGGAGGAGGAGGAGGACCCTCCCATCCTCCCTTGCGCCCCGTCCTGCATGGCTTGCGGTGAAAAATCCCAGGCCTCCCACATGGGGTCCGAGCAGGTGGGGTCGGAGGACTGCGCTGCATCGCCGATGCATCGCCGATGCATCGGCGATGCATCGGCGATGCATCCGCGACGTCGGCGCTGCATCGGCGCCGTCGGCGTGGAGACAGTCGGACTCCGCAACGAACCATATCGCCGATGCATCGGCGATGCGGCGCGATCCTCGGACACCCCATCCACTCGGACCCCATGTAGGAGGCCTGGAATAATCCACCACCACAGGCCATACAGGACGGGGCAGAAGGGAGGATGGGGAGGTACTTCAACTTCTCCTCCTCCTCCTCCTCCTCCTCCTCCTCCTCCTCCTCCTCCTCATCCCTCTCCTACCTGTTGGCAGTGGTAGTGGAACATCGGCCCATCAAGGTGGGGTAGCTTAAGATCCTAGCGTCCCAATGCTTTCGAGCCCGGCGCTGGCGCCCAACTTCGGGCATCGGGACTCTCTCGGATCCATCCGGTTCGAAAACATGTCACAGGACGATGGGGTCTGGGGCTATGTTGGTGATGCTTCACGTGCTGGATTAGTCCCGTACGCGCAAAGGCATACTGGTACTGTGAGCCTCTGGGCGCCCGCCCGAGCCGAACATGCAGTACAAATGTCTTGTGGCATATCGTTCCCCGGGCGGTGTGGCCAGAATGCGCCAGCGACGGAGCTTGGTACTAGAAGATGTCTCGGCGCGCGCGTCGCCCCTGGAGGGGCGAGGCACACATAGTATGAGTACGGTGGAGGCCAGTCCACAAGAAACCTCCCACAAGGAACCCAACCCTAGAGACCCCAGGACGCCCCTTGATTTTTGGTGTGGGGACGTCACGGCTTCCATCGCAGAACCATCGAAGCCCAAGAAACCCAGGGCACCCTGGAGGCAAGCAGGGTGTCTCTCGGCATGGGCCTCCACTGCATGCTTGGTCGCGACCGACAGGAGGGGGAGGGGGGAGGAGAAGGGGCGGAGGAGGGAAGGGCCAACTCCCGAAGGGATGCAGTGGTCGGGCCGATCGGGCAAGGCACGGCCAGGCAGGTCTGGAGATCCTTGGCGGCATCAGCCAGGGGCCCGCCGACCCAGCGGCAGGGCCTCCGTGGGAACCGAGGGGCTGGCTCGTGCGGCGGACACGGAGGAGGAGGGAGGTGGGAAAGAGGGAGGATGCTGGAGCGGCGCAGTAGGAGGGGGGAGGGGGAGTAGAACCCCCCTGGTTGGGAAGGGAGGGGGGGGCAGCGATGGGGAGGGGGAGGGCAGGGGTAGCGGTAAAAAGCAGAGGATCGAGAAGCGCGGAGGGCGACTGAAAACGACGGGGGCGACGGGGATGAGGACATGGTGGCCACGGTGAGCACAAGGAAGGATCGGGCGGGGGACCAGATGGAGACAGGAGGGGGCGGGGAGGAGCGGAGAAGCAGCAGGGCACGCGGAAGGACGCGCGAGGAGGAGGATGCAGAAGGGCGTTCCTGGGAGAAGGAAACAGCAGCGAGGAAGGAAGGCAGGTGAGGAATGGGGGTCGGGCGTGCCCCCCTACAGGCACATTTTGACGACAGATAGAACATGGCCAATACATGTTCAAACATGGTCACAACCACACCCGAAACATCGTCCCCAGACTTTCTTAACGATATATGAATCCCACCAGCCCTCTGGGCGCAGGTGGTCTCGGGCGTTTCCTGTTCTAACCT